TGGCTAGACTGAGAGATATCAAAGTAACGATACATTAACTCGCTTGACGTATGACTTCATATTTAGATAAACGCCTGTCAGAGTTGTTGTTGTCATGTTTTCTACCGCAGCGTCTGATTCACAATATAGTGAAAGGGTAAAAACATGACCGAATGTAACGTAACGCCTTTCTACTTCCATTTTTTTATTTATTGAATATAAAAATGTACAGTTGGCATTCAGGAAGGGTGGCCGCGGCCATACAAAGGCTGTCTGGGAAGAGGGGCGGCGATGGAGCGGTTCTAACCCGAGACTCCCGTGTCCCGGACGTGACCAAACCACTTGGTCACCACCGACCAAATGCTATGTCACCACGCGAGAAACAATGTTGTGACGAATTGAATTGTTCCAATCACTGCGCGCCAATCGTGCGAACGTATTGAGTTCACCACGAGGCGAATCCGGAGCATAAAGCTCCCGCATCTCACGACTACACAGTAGATCCCCAAACTAGTGGGTTTATCCCTACTAGTGTGATGTGTATAATGGTGTGTTCTGTGCACAATGAATCTTGCTCACGCTATATTCCCATCAGAACTTCCACCGAAATCGCCGCTTGCAAAAGCCCATCTGTTTACCTTGTACATCTTTAAAGTAATCGAGACTCAACAATACTCAGCGTCTTTATTGTATTGGTTCATCTGAATAAAGTGCGACAAATACTACGGACGTATTTCTGAGACGATTATACAGTTGTATTTCTTAGAAGTAGCCCGTATTTCAAGTATTCTTCAAGAACACCCATTCTTTGATTGACGTTCTTTCGAGAGAGGGAATAATTCGTTTCATTAGCCTCAGTATGGTCGGGCGTGGTTGTCTAGGGTGGCGGCTAGTCACCCTTTCCTCGCACCCCGCAAAATGCTCTCATACGACCAAGCGTCTCAAGCGGCCTTTGCTGAGGAAGCTCTACTCACTGCCTTCTCTTGGTGGAGGTGTTTCCCATCAACAGAAAGAGGAGGAAAAATCGACATCCGGGGCTATAACCGGGTTGGTGAACCGGTGGTGGTTCATCTAGGGAAGTTCGCCAAAAGCTCTGATTAAAAAAAGAGGCGTACGAACCACTCATACACCATTCTAGTCGTAGTAATGGTCACTGGCTCGATTGGGTATCGAGGTGTATTGAGCACCTTGGACGTTTGACCCCGTCAGAAGGGCGTATGATCCAATGAACCGGACACCGCCCCAAAGTGGATTTTGGTGTCCAAACAACGCTCCACTGCCTTGTGGCTCAGGCTTTGGTTAGCCGAAAGCTCCGGTTGTGGATTCCTCAAGACAATTCACCTACCTTGACCTGGGCAACCTGACAATATTCGACCTACTTGCAATTCATGGAACGCTTTTCTTTTTTATAAAGATTATTGTACCATTGTTTGCTTAGTAGGCAGTCTGATCACAGATCACATATATGAATATATATACATATATGAATATATATATATATACAGGCCTAATCGAACCTGAAGCAACGGGTCCCTGTGAAACACTTGTGGATTCGTATAGACAACAGCATTTATACTTGAGTTAATTTTTTTCCAAATTATAATAAGCCTTGTTGAGTCTTTATAGCATTAATTTTCCTAATTCGTTTGTACCCAGCAGATGGAATGATTCAGAATGTAGCGGATACTCCTATTTCGTCAATAGTGGTTGGACTAGACCATGATGAGTTAAGAGATAACTAAAGAGAATGGAACAGTTTTTATTTAACGCAAATTAACATTGATAATAATTCATTCTCGTTTGCAGAAGGGAGTATGAATGGCGAGGAAGATCTTCCCGTTGAATAGACGGCAAGGATTTTCTGCAATGTTTTTTTCAGAGTAATACGAATTAGGTCGTCCTTCTGTTTGGTTGTACTCGGTTTAGGGCCTCCACAAACTGTTCTGGTAGTTGTTTTCCATGGATTATCCTGTAAATTGTGTTTATGTTAACGTTTAAGCATCGGCCAAGATGTGATATGGAAACTCCCAGCTTGTGTGCTCGTGCAATTCTATTTCTGTCCTATCCACCGAGATAGCGAGAACTTTTGGTTTTGAGCGCTGCTCGTTTCATTATGGTGACAACAATACAAAGGTTCGACGCTGCGCACAAAACTGATGTTGATTTCAAGGTTCACTTTGATTAAAGTGGTATTTCTCGAATTCAGTGGGTTAGATATCAAACATAGTTTATCATTATCAAAACTTATTTAATCTTATTTACTCCGGTTTTGAAAGAGTTTCATTTGGTTATTCAATAGACTTGCTATAATGGATTATATGTCAGATAAAAAAGACCCCATATCAAACAATCGAGATGGAAAGGGTGTATGGAAGTAATTTGGGATAATTGTCAAGCCATTCCTATTAGAATAAATTGCGTTTTCACACTTGATAAAGTTTGAGATTTTCATGTTGACAGTATTTAATCTCGGTAGCCAAGATCAGGCACCTTTAATTGACACAGACTAGAAACTAGGTAGATCGAAGAAGACAAGATATAAATTATTTTCAAGGCCTCAAGTATTATTATAGGTGATTAATATAATGAAACTCAATTTATTCAAAGAAAATATTTTAGTGCATCACAATCGGCCAGTACTGTATAATGTTCATTTTTCCTTCCGTTTAGAAGGTAAAGATACAATTTTCACGAAAGGGAAGCGGTCAATCAAACGGCTACCAAACAACCTAGAACGAGGGAGGGGATTCAGGCTGTGGTAGTGGTGTTGGTGCTGGTGGTGATGATGAGGTTCTAACACATGTCCGTGCGGGTGATAATTTGGCGACGTTACCACCGGGTAACAATGCGAACAGAGGAATCGTATTTATTGATTTTTGACACTACACCTTGATCCGTTCGCTTTCCAATAAAAGATACCTGCGGTCTATATACAACTTACTAGCATCTCCATGGTCTAATGACCAGAAATAAGTCACACCAATTTAGGAAAGAAAGTACAAAGAAGGATACTGGTGAATTTCATTTTTACAGAAAAAATCAACTAACCCGACACTATAGTGCTACTATCAACCAATACTCGCATAAAGAACGTCATGTGTATCGACAAAACCATTGCCAAATTTCATCTCCAGTGGCCTGAAATAAAAAGGATTGTTGTACTAATAGTAATGCTGCGTCGTAGAATAGGCATGTTGGTTGTTAAATTCACTTAGAAAGTTGCACTTCAGAATAGAAACTACGTGCTCAGTAGATAGGAACTGGGCTACCGTGACTCCCTCTCGGACACACAGCCACTACTCTTACCCCCTTCCCGCCAATCCCGGTTGCTCATCCACACCAGGAAAGCATTCAGATGAGATGGGACTAAACGGACGTATGTGGGCAGAACTTGTATTTCATGGAAAACTAATTATTCACTGATAATATCAGATGCTTGATAGAGTTTTTGTCTACCGAAGTTCCGCACACATTCAAGAAATAAGCCAGAACGAATTCATGTTTACAAGTTAGAGATAAATGTAGGCGAAAAAAGAGAAAAATGATTCACTTACTGCACAAATTATTTTTTGTGTAAAATTCCTAATCAACTAGATTGATTTAACTTGTCAAACAAAGGTGCATGAAGCATTAGCTCTATGATCACTGGCATCTATTATACTCAGTCGGGTATAAAGTCCACTTACAGTCGAACAAATGAAATGCACCAAGGTCATGTGCAGACTGCTCCGAATGCCTGACAGGGAACTGAATTCAATGTGTGTGCTTCGCGTAAGTAAGCGAAAATAAAGTCCGTCGGTAGGAGCAATCAAGAAACACGTTCACAACCAAAAGAGATTAAAAACAAATGAAGTGTGGCATTCAGTCAGACAAAGAATGATGAATATCTATACAGGAAACGCCAAAAAAAACTCATACAATCAACGAATGCCTTGCAGTGTTTTTCAATCAGTAATCATGTTTTGGCGAAGTTTTAATTTTGAAATACTTATTTGTAATGTGTAGCAATAAAACATACGCGACACCCGCTTTCTTGCGTTCTGCTTTCCAAATACTTTCCCCTGGGTGCTGGGCAACAGTTCAACCAGTCTAACTGCAAACTACCAATTCTTTCCCTCCTCATACTCTGAGTTATTAGCTTTCAGAAGTATTAAGACTATCATGTGTACCAGGAATGAAGTCATATTTTTTCTCATTTAACTTACACGTGATTTGCACCTCCGTTGAGCTCGTTCTCATGAGACACTACTGTTAAAGGACCGGACAGAGTGAACCAGATATATCATTGCGAACATTTATCGGAGGTCCTGAAACAATTTCAACGCCAAACTGCGACACAGAAACAGATTGTAGCTTACACATTGGCATGCGCATTTTGTTTAAGGTTGCATATCATCATCATCGTACAGTGAAAAAAAACTTCACTTACCGCTTCCAAACTCGTTATACCTATACAGTAAGTGGTAATATGTAAGGTTGACAGGGATTGGACCTATTTTGACGGCGGAGAGGAAAGTGAATCTCAACACAAAATGCACAATCGAACTATAAATACATACCATTCCAAGCATATTGGCCCGATAAGGAATGACAACAAGAACGCCACTTCTGTCGGTTTGCTGCCACATTTTTCAGTGTCGCCAACCAACCAGTTACGGAGTCTTTCGGACCCCAAACTGGAAGGCGCGAGGCACCTAATTTACCTACTCGCTCTGTACATTTCTTCATGTCTCGCCTCCACGTCATCAGTTGATCTCCACGTGGTTTCCTCCAATCACGTACAGCGAAATACAATGAAACGAACTGCACTGATCGCTGCCAAATTCACAATGCATACAAGGTTAGTTGTAAAATTTAAGGTGGACAGGGATTGAACCTATTTTGATGGAGGCGGGAGAAAGTGAATCTCTAAGGTCCATAAACACGTGAACATTCCTGTGTCTAAGATAGGGGATGTGAATAACCAGTGTCAGTTGCGTGATCATACGAATGGAAAAAACAAAGAGCTGAGGTGGCAATGATCAAATAATTTTGGTCATCGTAACGGCCACCGTCAATCCTCTCTGTTTTCTGTATCTCCCCTAGTGGTTTTGGACTGTTCACAGCCTCTTCCTGAGAACAAATTGTGTGATAAAATAAAAATAAAAATAGTGCTATAGTTTCTTTCAAAATTAAAATGTCTGGACACTGGACAAATATTTCCTCTTATTCAGGGACTTGTCAACAGTACCTTGACTGGGACTCGAAAGGTAAACCCTCAAATTGGAAGCAGAAGCACTTACGCCTGAGTTACGCGGTCGACGGTCAAAATGGTGTGTTTTGCTCACCTTTTGGCCCTTCACCGTGTAGTTAGTTCATCTGTAAAGGTTTTTACTTGCAATCCGAAGGTTGGCGGTTCGAATACCAACAGAACACAGACGAAATAGCTGCCCAGTGGACATTGTCGGTCATCACAGAGTTTCCTGTTACAAATAAATGTACTCAATATGTTGTAAAGTACCAAACTAGCCAGGGGTGAAACTCAAAATAACCCCCCATACACAGAAGTGCCCGATCGATGCCTGTAAGAAAGCTGAATTGGTTAACTCTAGCAAAACTTTGCAAACTAATCGTGCTCGATTATTGTATAGCATGGTTGTCAATCAATAACAGCATCTTTTGGATTCGCTTTGCTCTATTTCCTAACGAGATTGCCGATCTCCCTCCTCCCGTTTGTCTCTCTTCACAGGTGAGGCCATAGCATGCTATTCCTGTGTATCGATCAACGGTAGTGATCCAAAATGCGAAGACCCGATGTCCGCCAGCGTCCCACTCGATCGACCTTGTCGCCAAAGTGTGGCTGGTCATGAGGGTCTATTCTATGCCTACTACTGTTCCAAAATCAAAGGAGTTAGGCAAAGTGATGGTCGAAGTCTGCTGATTCGACACTGTTCCATGGATAAACTGGCAGATATTCCGACTCATTGTGGACAATTTAGTCTGGACGAGGAACTTTATTCCGGATGCATAGCCACTTGTACACGGGACTGGTGTAACACGAGTCCTATGCTTGTGAAACCGCACACTCCACTGGCTTTCATTCTCGCTGTGATTTTCTATTCAATTCCCTAGATCCCCTACCTCCCCCNCCCCCCCCCCCCCCCCAGCCTCAAATGCGCCAAACAGATGGAATAATGTGAATTCCCCGGAACGATCACATCGCTCTGTAGAATTCTATGGAATACGCAAGCAAACTCGATTTCATATTGGGGAAAAATTATCTTTTGTGCTGTGTCTCATGAACACGCCTTGTCGTCACGTCAATTCGTGGTGCATAATATCCCACTGATCATCTGATTACCGAAACTTTCTGATCATGTGTTGTTTGTTATTGAATAAAAAAAAACAATCTTCACAAAATTTGCAACAAACAACAACTTTGTGCTCGGAGTCAACACAGTTTTGCGAAACACTGTTATCCAATCTCAACCGGTTTGCAGATTATACGGATGGGACTAGAAAACATCTGCTGCAGTTGGTCACGGATAGCAACACTCGTGCATGTATATATAATGGATAGGGCTATCTCAGGATCGTATAACCTTTGGCGGTATGATTGATCCTGCCCGGTTGCCTTTTTTTGAGTCCTCGAACTTGACACTGGATACGCAATCAGATCGTTCATCGAAATGTTTATCCAAAAGGATTCATAATGTGAGAAACCAAACCAGAAAATGTAACAAATAAAAGTATGAAAAATAATAATGCATGCTGTCGCACTACTTTTTAGGATCACTTGTTTTTACTTTGTTTTCTGGGGAATAATTTGAAGGAGTAATTCAAATAGCTTTGTCTTGATTTTGGAAGTGAGGAACTCAGGCCTTGTTGAAACTAAACTGTAAAACAATGGAGATTACCAGATAGAATCAGAGTTCATTGTAATCGGTGGTGGTCTGTGATAGTGGGACGCCATTTGTGTAGCGCTTAAACGTTTTAAAAGTTGCTGCATGCTGCTTGTCTGGTGGTAGTGCCTAGCTGATTATCATTTCGGACGAACTCAGATTGTTTAATTAGTTTTGAAAACGATTTCACTGATATAACCGCTAGGAAGGCGAACGGGTAATCGCATTAGCTTTGTTTTGTTGACAAGATTGTCAAGAAGGTGCTTTGATGAATGTGAACAAGGTCTCCACCACTTACTGTGAAATTTCTAAACAGGCCAACCCACGGGGGGGGCGATAGTTCATTTGTACCGGGGAGATTTTGTCAAAATAAAGCATTCAGCACACGCCAGATGTCACCATACACGAAATCCAAAAACACTTAATTGGACAAGATAAACAAAGAAGCGAACGAATGTGCACTGGAACACTGGTTGAATAAACAAGGTCATATAATAAATAGTTCAAATGTGCTTTCCATCGTTCGTTTTTACTGCTATGATTTAATGTCATAGGTTCGACAAAGAATCTATTGAACACGTACTTCATTTTGAAGTTTCGATTGCTTGAACCATAACGGTTGAGACGAGTTGCACTTTCATGAAGTGTAAAGCATTAGCAAAGCTATTCAATTTAACTGAATTGAAATTTTTTATCATTAATTAAATTTATGCTGGTTGGGACATGTATTTCGCATGTCACTGAATAGGTTGTCACGGCACGCGATGTTGCTCGAGGCAGGTAGTGGACGGAATGAAGTCAAGCCAAGCGAAGACCTGGTATGAGGGTAAAACCCTGACCAGGAGACTCGGTCACATGAGCCCCGTTAGCCTCCGTGGATGTGAAACTCGGGATTATTGTAATCAATGGTTAGAGACACTGGGTGATATGGCTGAGTGGCGCTGGTGCATCTACTCATTATTCTTGCAACTCCAGTCCTTACGATTTCTCTATCTTTTCTTTCACCCTAACCTCAGCGTTTAAATATTCATCCCAATGGACATCCAAAAGACAGCAACCAAAACTCGCGCACGAAACTGCATGGTTATTATTTGTAAAAACGAAAACGGAAACAAATATATACTGTCGACCAGTTTCAGCAGCGAACGCATAGCGCGGACGGATTCCATCTGGTCCTATAGAGCTTAAAGCTAAGGTAGCAAAAACCGATGCAGCAATCAGGAACTCACAAAGCTCAAAATACACTGCAGATTATTTCCACCACCGGGTCTGCTGATTGGGCACACGCGTTATACAACTCCGCAATCGATTCACGGGGTTTTAAAGGTAAAAAAGATATTCTGTTAACCCGCAGATCGGTAAACTGAGTAAATGACACGTGGGCGTAAAACAGTATGAGGTACAGGAGATCCAGGCAGGTCGATAGGAACCATTGGTGTCAATATTCTCGCTGATCCTGTTTGACTGATACCCATAACGGGGCATCTGTTGTTTTGTTAAGTAGAGAAAAACAAGCGAGGTCGGCGGTTTTGAGACATGTTTATTAGTTCTAATTTGGCTATTCCCTCAGTGTGTTACAACTTAGTCCTTTGATCGACATTAGTCGCCGACTTTTCGGTGTATGTTTGATACGGTGCCGCCATGGGTTTCCAAGGTGAATGGTACACTCAGTAAGTATTCGTCTTCACAATGATGACCAAATTAAAAGTGATGTTTTGTCGCAAAACAGATCATAAGCCTGTTTTAATTGTCCATTCTACTTGACTCAAGTTGCGGCACCGCTTAAGAAGGAAATGCACGGCACTCCAGCTAAACATTGTATCATGCAATTCAAGCGATTTGAAATAATCCTAGCTAGATTAACTGATCCGAATACCGCTTGTCACTAGAACTGAGGATCTGGTTTTTCTAGGGTTAAGCAGAACGACACTATATTTTGGTGTTACAGTAACCTTTGAAATAGTTTTGGACGCACTGTGTATCTTTCTTTTTGTGCAATCCCTCGGTGTTAATACCTGCTAAGATCTCAGGCGGATTTCACATCTGAACTCTACTTTTAAAAAAATTCGACGATTGTTTTTCTTTATTTCCCGCTTGCGATCTTTAAAAGTTCCACTGTTTACCCGATTTACCCGATTTGTATATTCTCGGGTCGTCACTCATCTTCTTTACCGCTCCCCAGTTTTATTTGCCGGTTTTGGAGTTAAAGACTACACAATTCTATGCCAATCTATTTACATTATTTCACGAACAAGCGATATTGCCTATTTATATTTGTTCAACTTTGTCGTCGACAAACATTTTACCTCTTGCGAAAACTTCTGCAGCAATATTCTATCAGATTTCACTGGCACATGGCACATAGAACTTAACCAATGTGTATCCACTTATGTAACCGGGTGCCGTTATAAACTTTTGCATACTTTTACCACCACCTACTGTTTGTCCCGTATCCTTCCAGATTCCTGGCAAAGAAAGCATCCGTCAGAGAAAATGTTTTGGAATTCCTAGATAGATGATTTCCATCTTCACATTTTTACGCCACATTCCTCTTGAATTTACGATGCTGTATTTTACTTTTTCTCAGTGTAACTGTATGCGGTGATGAATGACCCTGATGTGAAAGAAGCTGAAATTCCATCCAGTGGTATGAATAAAGTGGTTTTTGACTTTTGCAGAATATATATATATTTAACACCGGCTTGTAGATAAGCATGGTGAAAATGCCACAATAATAATAACAATAACGGGGGGCAGGTGGATTGGAATACAGAAAGTGGAAAGAAGGCGAAAC